TTGTCAACTTGACACAAGCCCAAATTATCTGAGGAGAGGAACCTTTGTGGTGGAATATTATTTTAAGATGTGTTACATTTGTTTTTGCTGTGAAGCATTTGTTTAATGATGCACAGATGTGTTGTATTCTTTTATGTTGCATTTGTTTAACTCTGTGAAGCTGCATTACTTTGCCTGTCTAAAACATCTGATTGGTCTAATATAGAGCTAAACAGCCAATAGCTAGGCAGGATAAATGATGGTCAGGTCTGGCAGGCAGAGAGAATAAATAGAAGGAGAAAACTGGGAAGAGAAGATCGAGGAGCAGGAAAAGGAGAAGAGGAGGAGGACATCGGGGCCAGCCACCCAGCTACATACCTGGGTGTAAGAAGTAAAGAAAGGTATATAAAATAGAGAAAGACAAAAGCTCAGAGACAAAAGATAGATGGGATAATTTAAGAAAAGCTGTCTAGAAATAAGCCAAGCTAAGGCCAGGCATTTATAAGTAATAATAAGACTCAATGTATTTATTTGGGAGCTGGGTGGCAGGCTCCCAAAGAGCAAAGAGTAAAAACAAAAACAAAAACAAAAAACTACATTTTAAAATAATACTCCATAACAAATCTCAGTTGAGAAAATGCCTCCATCAGATTGCCTAGTCTGTGGTACATTTTCTTGATGTGGGTGGGCCAAGCTCACTGGGACAGTCACCCCTAGCCTCAACCTTCCAAGGAACTGGGATTTCAGACTTTCATCATATGCCTGACTTAGTTAAAATTTTTTATTGTGTTAAATACATATAACATAGAAGTTCCTCTCTTAGCCATTCCACATGTATATTCAGCATATTTCATTGTTATTCTTTGCAAATGTAATTTTTATCTAATTATAATATCCAGATGAATAGAAATATAAGTGATTTTGTATATTGTATTATCTAGTTTTTGGAGGGTGGTGGTGGTGGTGGTACTTTGAGATAGAGTTTCTCTGTGTAGCCCTGGCTGTCCTAGAACTCACTCTGTAGACCAGGCTGGCCTTGAATTCACAGAGGTCGACCTACCTGTGCCTCCCAAGTGCTGGGATTAAAGGCATGCACTACCACCGCTGGGCTGTATCATCTATTTTTAATAGTTCTAATTGGGGCCGGGCGGTGGTGGCGCACGCCTTTAATCCCAGCACTCGGGAGGCAGAGCCAGGCGGATCGCTGTGAGTTCGAGGCCAGCCTGGGCTACCAAGTGAGCTCCAGGAAAGGCGCAAAACTACGCAGAGAAACCCTGTCTCGAAAAACCAAAAAAAAAAAAAAAAAAAATAGTTCTAATTGGTTTTTTTTTTTTTTTGTAGATTATTTGGGGCTATTAGAGTTCGGTTACAATTATATGTACTAGGTATTAGTAGATGTTTGTGTTAGCCAGGTTCCTGTTACTGTAAAAATATCTGAGATAAATCAATTTATAAAAAGATTTATAAACCTTTGCTCAGAGGTTTGATTGATTGGCTCCCTTGCGTTGGGCCTGCGGTGAGGCAGCCTATGGTCACGGCGGAAGCCACTAGAGAGCAAAACCACTTCTTTCATGGCTAGAGAGCGAGAGAGGAAGAGAATGGGGCCAGAGTTCCACAGTCCCCTTTGAGGACATGCCTTTAGTGATCCAAAGACCTCCCTTAAGGTCCAGCCTCCCCAGGGCTCTAGCACTTTTAACAATGCCACCCTGGGAAACAATCCCTTACCACATGGGCCCCTGCAGGACATGCTACCAGTATCCTACATCAGTTTAACCATGCCGACTGTATCCTGAGGTGCAGATCTTAGGAGGTCCCACAGCTCAGGCATTATCAGAACCCTGGAGTGGGAAGGACACCCGGGTCCTCTGATTTGTGATAAGACCCAGGGCTACAGCTTCCTGTACCCACTGTGTGCCAGGTGCCACACACATCTCCCCACCCGTGAGATAGAAGGTGCTTGTATCAGTCAGGGTTCTCTAGAGGAGCAGAACTGAGAGAATGAATATATATTTATGCAATTTATTAGAGTGGCTTCCAGGCTGTGGTCCAGCTAGTTCAACAGTGACTGTCTACCGATGGAAAGCCCAAGAGTCCAGTAGTTGTTCAGTTCACGAGGCTGGATGTCTCAGCTGGTCTTCAGTATTTGCAGGAGTCCAAAGAAGTAGGCTCTAATGCCAGCGAAGGAATGGACTTGCCAGCAAGATCAAGAGCAAGCAGGCAGAGAGAGCTAGCTTCCTTCTTCCATGTCCTTTATAAAGGCTGCCAGCAGAAGGTGTGGCTAGATTAAAGGTTGATCTTCCTACCTCAAAAGTTCTGGATTAAAGGTGGGTCTTTCCACTTTAAATGATTTAATTAAGAAAAATCCCTCACAGGTGTACCCAGCTGCTGGGTCTTAGTTAATTCCAGAGGTCGTCGAAATTCCAGAAGACTAGCCATCACAGTACTCTAGTCACCACACATGAATCAGGCAGCTTGCCAGGGATGAGCAAGGCTCAGAGGCAGAGCAGTGGCATGTCCATTTAGAAGTGGTAGCTTAGTCGCTCAGGCAGGAACCCGAGCGCCCCTCCAGATACAGGGCAGGAGAGTACAGTGGTGGGAACCATCACTGGCCCTCTTTGAACTTCAGTTTCTTTATCTGTACAGAATCTGTGGACCACGGTACTGTTTCCTTTGTGCAGTTGCTCTTCTGTGGTCCATAGACAGGCCACGTAGACATGCCATGTAGACAGGCCACATAGACAGGCCACGTAGACAGGCCACGCCAGAGACAAGAGCCCCAGAGACTGGGTGCATGGGACCAGATACTTGTGATGATTTGATACCGATGCTGCACCCAAGCGCGTGATTACCACTCACAGAGGTGATGGCTACAATGAATTGGAAATTCACAAAGGGGAGTAAAACTTGTTGGCTCTGTGAATGGTTTGTAAACCACGGTGTTCAGGAACCAGACCCTGTCCTCCCTCAGAACCCCTGTGCCACTAAGCCTGGGCTGCCTAGTTGTGAACCCCTCAAGCCCAGGGGTTCCGAACCCCTGGTTCTTCAGTATGCCTCACACAGACAGGGCCAAGAGCTGCAGGGGTGAGGAGGATGTCTGCACCCAGGTTGTCATGAGGGTCAAGTACACTTACATTAGCAGCCCTGGTTTCCGTCTTCCATTCTCCCGTGTGTCACCTCCATGTCAACACTAGGGTCACTTATGTCTTCCCGATGGTCTGACCCCTGGAGGTTGTCCAAACCCCACTCAGGTAAGCACTCCAGGGACTCAGCCCATCCACCACCCATCTGCCTGAGGTAGCGTTTTGACCTGGCTGAGCTGCTTTGTGAGTTCAGTGGAAGCCTGTTTCCCTGCAGTGGTGTCTTTCTGGGGAGATGGCCTGCAGGGCCTGCAGGGCTTCACGGAGGCCTTGGCCATGAAGCCTTTCCAGTTAGAGTGACCTCAGGCAGTCTGTCCAGAAAGGACTGTTTCTTCTTCATGGGTCACGTGGACATTTGGACAGGTGTCCAAAGAACTACTGTCCCCATCCTAAAGGATGTCAGCGGTGGTTGCAGGGATACAGATAACAGGCGTGGCCATCACCTGGAAGGATGAGGAGTGTGAAGGTGAAGGAAGTTGAGGGGGGGGCAGTTTTAGGAACTTGCAACATCAGGGGAGAAGTGTGCCTGGACAGTGTGTGAGAGTATCATGTCTGTGTGTGTGTGTCGTACATGCATGTGTGTGGCTAAAGGCCTGAAGAGATGGAACTGTCTGAAAATGAAGGTTACCATTGTGAGGCCCGAGGCGGGTGTGGGATAGGGCAGGGCCTTGCAGCCCTCCCTGTGGGCTCTGCTCTGTTCTCCAAGTCCTTCCTGTGCTAGAGGTCACGTGGGGCCACATGGAGTTTGCTCATGTGTCTGCTCAAGTCACCTGGACCACAGCCGGGACAAAAGGACCTGCCTGAGGTTTGCTGCAGGTGGTTACACAGCCTTTCCCCGGGAAGGTCATTCCCTGTGAGCCAGGGGACACTTGCAGCCTCTTCTTCTAGCTCCTGGCTGCTGTTAGTTCTCCAGGTGGGGCCAGAGGCATCTGGGCAAAGGCTCCTGTTCCCTTCTGCTGGAAGCTTCCCTGACTAACGCCCATACCTGTCTTGTCTGTGAGCAGATCAGGGAGGATGTAGAAGGGTGGCCAGATGGCTAGATGCAGCTACCCACTGGGCAGTGTGGCGTGCCCGTGAACCTCAGGCCCAGGGCCACCCTCCTCTCTCCTGGTTCTCCCAACAGAGCCAGAGCCAGTGGCTAGTCAGGCCATATCTGCTGCCAGGCTGGTGAAGGAGGGAAGGCCGTTTTCCCAGTTCCCAAAGTGTCCCAGGAAAGGGAGAGGCGGTCCAGAGCCCCACAGTGGCGAAGGGAAGTGTGGCCTGCCGGAGTGCACAGTGTCCTGTCAGTGTCCTGTCTCCCGTGGTCTGATGGTGGAGCTCTCTGCCTGCCAGTCCGGCAGATACCCGCACTCTTTCTGTGTGCCCGGGACACCAGCTCTGCAGCACCCCTTTGCACTGATGTGACCGTCAAGTTCTTGTAGCTCTCCTCCCCCCCCCCCACTACGGCTCCCCGCCCCCCAGTATCACATCACACACGGTTTGACTGCTGCTGTCCCTGCTTTAAATTCCCCGCAGAGGCACTGGGCGGATGTGCTGGCTATTTCTCTGTGAGTCAGCCACCTTAGGAAGTCACCAAGTCCCCAGGACACAGTGGCAGCCAGTGTGACTAACCTCTGATGGAGTGCTGAGAGCGGTCTCTGTAGCTCTGGGGATGTCAGGTCTGGGTCTGAGTTGTGACCCTTTTGTAGTAGCTGAAGAGTGTGCAGGTCCCCAGCTCCCAAGTGACAAGTTCTTGGCCACACAGCTCCCAAGTGACAAGTTCTTGGCCACAGAGCTGCCTGAGTGGGCCCTTTATGTTATTAGGCTCCCTCCCTCCCGAGTGCTAGGGTTCTAGGCTGAGCCATTCCCAGATCTGTCTGATGTCATCTCCTCTGTTACCTCCAGTACGCTTGGGTGGAGAAGCACTTTGGCCCTGAATTTCTGGAGCAAATTGTGTTGACCAGAGACAAGACTGTGGTCTCTGCCGACCTTCTCATAGATGACCGGCCGGACATCACAGGCAAGTAGCCCAGGGCAGGGATGTGGGTGGCAGGGGGAAAGTGGGTGGCCATAGTTGCATTCTCCCTTCTCCCACATACCTCCTCCTGGGGTCTCCTCAGCTCCCTTCCCACCTTTACCAGGTGTTTACCAGCACCCAGCCAGGGACTTCCTCCTGTTGGGAAGTTCTGCCTGCGCCCTAGGGACAGGGGGCTACTGGAAAGCAGAATGTCTGTGCCTTACCCAGACTGAGTTGGACCTGTTGGCTTTCCTGAGTGAGAACCCAGCTTCGATTTTCAAACCTTTATGTTTAGTAACAATGGTAGTGCAGGGTAAGTCTGCTATATAACAGGAAGTCGCAGTCAGGTGTCTATGGCTGACAGTGGCTTGGGCATTGCATTTGTCCCTTTTTTCGGTTCCAGCTAATGACCCCTTCCCAGAAAACAAGCAAACTGATTGCTTGGCTCACTTAACTGAGAAGGTAGGGTGGACAAAGGGCTTCAGGCATGGTAGGATTTGGGAGTTCCGTTACTCAGTCCACACTGTTTCCGGTCTCCGGGATGTGTTCTGCCTGTTTTTGCCACATTGTGGGCAAGATGTTTCCCCCGCTGGTAGTTCTTAAGAGTTTGTTCTGTTTTGGTCACATCATAGGAAGACAGTTTCTTTCCTAAACCTTGCTGAGTGCCAGAGAAACATGGCTATCTACCCCAGTCTCTCCAGAGGCCCGTGTGGATGGAGACAGCCTCTCTTAAAGGTCTTCTGGAGGCTTCCAGGGGGCTTCAGCCACAGGAGCTAGTAGGTCGCAACCCCAGGGAGCCTATCAAGTTGCGGCACGGTGTGAAGGAGGTTGGTACCGTAACCGCAGGGCACGCAGGCCTGGGCTTCCCACTTGAGCTAGCACAGGATGAGCACAGAGGTGGTTGGCCAGGCCCAGCAGTGGGGATGACAGAGCCCCTTCAGCCCTCACCGTGCGGACCCGGACCGCTTCCTGGGTGTCGCACGGAGCACCCTGTGCACAGTGCCTTGCTTTACCCTCGTGCCTTCTGTAGTAGGGCAGGCTAATGGAGCATCACTTTGCAGACAGAGAAACTGAGTCAGATGAGGCACGACACCTGCTTATGGGGCTACCCCGGGGCCCCAGTCTTTGGCCTGAGGCGCTGCTCTCCTCCCCAGGGGCCGAGCCACACCCCAGCTGGGAGCACATCCTCTTCACCTCCTGCCACAACCATCACCTGCAGCTGAAGCCCCCTCGCCGGAGGCTGCACTCCTGGGCGGACGACTGGAAGGCCATCTTGGACAGCAAGCGTCCCCACTGAGGGCTGTGCTGTGACTCTCTCGTGGTCCAGTGTGGGGCTGGCAACTCGTGATGGGACAGCGGCCAGCCTGCTGAGGGCTGTACTGCGTTCCCTGGCACTTCCTGGAGGACCCCAGTGGACTCTCTGGTCAAGACAACTTCCTGGTACACTCCCCTTCTTCTCCTAGCCCAGGCCTTAGCCTGATCTTGGGGCAGTGCCGGGAGAAAGGCATTTGCTCCCGAGCAGCTTGGCCTGGCCTCAGGCGGTGGCCCACGCCACTCCCTCTCACTGCTTCCAATAGGGTGTTCTCCAAGGCACTGGGGTGCCCTGGTCCAGGATCTGCAGCCTTTGCAAAGGTAAGGAGTGACAGAGAGAGAGATGACAGGCTCCCCTGACAGGCATGTGCCCTTCCACCTCCAACACGGCACCTTGTCCAGTTTGCCCACCTAGCCTGTTCTCTCCCCCTGGCTTTCAGTGGCCACCAGGCTCTTCTGGAGGCCAGCAGTGACCCTGCCTATGGCTAGTGCTGTGGTTTCTTTCTCTGGTGTCCCTGGATCCTGTTCATGGCCCAGAAAGGAGTCGGCAGGCTTGAACATTTGTTGACCGTATGAGAAATAAATGCTATTCACAAAACCTGTGCCGTGGCCTTCTCTAGCACCTGCCCCAGGGTCATCCAGTGTGCCATCTGCCTGTGACGTAAGCATCTGGCAGTCCCACACGCTGATGAACAGGACAGAGGTGGGCATAGTGCTCCTTTGTGTGCCTCGCATGGTACCACACTGGAGCAAAGGCAAGATGGCCTAGGTAGTGACGTAGGCTGGCAGCCTGGTGGCTTCTTTTGGTCCCGTTCATCTGAGGGAGGCACTGCTTCCCTCAAGCACCTCCCCCAATGCCTTACCCCTTTTCTCCTCACCCTGCAGTCAGGCCTCAGCGGTTGTTCCCTTTGGGCTGAATCCCTGGGTGGCGACACTTGAAGCAGCCACCTCCCCACTGTCCCCTGGCGAATTTTAGAAACAGTGCCCTCGAAGGCCAGTTGCATTCTCAAAACACACGCCTGTTCTCTCAGCACTTAGGTTGATTGCTGTGAGTTCAAGACCAGCCTGGGCTACATAGTCTAGGCCAGTCAGGGTCACACAGCAAAACCCTGTCTAAAAACATTAAAAATCAGCACCCTAGTTTGTTTCTGGGCCTTCGTACTATGCCTTTCAGTATCTAAGGCAGGTGATCTTGATTGCCTAGGGACTGGGCTAAGGTAGAGAAAAAAACAAGAGAGAGAACCCTGGTTTCAGAGCTGGCCAGGAATTCCATATCCCATCTTTTGGTCTTAAGAGCTCAGTTCTGTCACCAGGCTAGGTCTGAGGCATCCACCACCCAGTCTGGAGAAGGATACCCCAGGAATCCACTGCCTGTCCTGGGCCTCTCTTGACTCAGCCATGTGTGGCTTTCCATAGTGCTACTCCATTGTTACCCTTGGGCTGGTTGGGGGCTCTGCCAGTGTCTTACTGGAAACACATGGCAGTGATGTCACTTGATCCTGGAACTCGGTGGCGCAAGCAGGGCAGTGTCTGGTAACGTCTTGACCGGGGGCCTGGAAGAAAGCCAGTCCCTGGAGGGTGGCTTCGTGCCTGCTCCAGAGACCCTTTGTTACCCTGACAGAAGACCTCATTCCCCAGCAAGACCATCCATGCCGGTCCAGGAAACAGTGTGACAAGTGAGAAGCATGAATTATTTCTTCGTGACTCCTCATGGTGGCTGGATGAAGCTCCCTCCTGTCTGTCAGCCATAGGGCCTGCTTTCCCGTGATCCTCATGCTGCCCAGTGCCAGGTCTCCACTTAGAGTGACCTGGCCAGTCTAGAGCCTTGCAGCCTCCAGCCGTGGCAGTGAGGGAACTCTCTTGTGCTTGTGGCCCTCCGTGATAGGTTGGGGATGGTCTGTTATGTACTTTCTAGGTGCCTGGGCTTTTGCCAAATCAGAGGTCACAGCAACCAAGGAGAGCCACTCAGCCCTGCCTTGAAAATACTGTGACTATCATTCAGGGAAGAGAAAACAGTGCAGCTCATTGCTACCCAGAGTCTGCCCTGCCGATGACAGATAACCCTGCTGTCTTACTGAGGGTTACTACTGCTATGATGAAACACCATGACCAAAAGCAAGTTGGGAAGGAAAAGGCTTATTTGGTTTACACTTCCACATCTTAGTCCATCACTGAAGGAAGTCGGGACAGGACTCAAGAGGGCAGGATCCTTGAGGCAGGACCGATGCAGAGGCCATGGGGGAGGGCTGCTTACTGGCTTGCTTTCCCTGGCTTGCTCAGTCTGCTTTCTTATAGAACCCAGGACCACCAGCCCAGGGATAGCACCGCCCACAATGGGCTGGGTCCTCCGCCATCAACCACTAAGAAAATGCCCTACAGCCAGATCTTATGGAGGCATTTTCCCAGTTGAGCTTCTCTCCCTTCATATAACTCTATCTTCTGTCAAACTGACGTCAGACTAGCTACCACAGTTGATCCCTTGTCAACTTGACACACACATCACTGCTAATCCATAACCTTTCCTTTCTTCTTCATCCCCAAGATTACACATTAATATGGCATCACAGTATAAAGATATTCTCAAACTTAAAAGCCCCACTGCCTTACAATTTCAAACATTTAAAAAAATCAAAGTCTCAGCTGGGTGGTGGTGGTGCCTGCCTTTGATTCCAGCACTTGGGAGGCAGAGACAGGTGAATATCTGTGAGTTCAAGGTCCACCTGGGCTACAGAGTGAGTTCCAGGAAAGGCGCAAAGCTACACAGAGAAACCCTGTCTTGAAAAACCAAAAAGAAAAAAAATTCAAAGTTTCTTTTAAAATCCAGTTTCAACTGTGGACTCCTATAAAATGAAAAATAAGTTAAATATATATGTATATATATTTCAAGAGGGAAGAACCAGGACATAGTCACAATCCAAACAGAGCAAAACAATACTCCAACTTTAAAAATTCAGTATCCAATGTCTAGGATCCACTCATGATCTTCTGGGCTCCTCCAAAGGGCTTGGTCACCTCTCCAGCTCTGCCCTCTGCAGCACACACAGCTTGTCTTCTAGGCTCCAGCTGGCTCCACTCCACTGCTGCTGTTCTTGGTGGTCCTCCCATGGTTCTGGCACCTCCAAAATGCTGGGGTCTTCTGCTTTGACTGGGCCACACTTTCACCAATAGCCTCTCCTGGGCCCTCTTCATGGTGCCAAGCCTCAACTTTCTCCATGACCGCTTCATGCCTTCAAAACCAGTACCACCCGGGAGACTCTTACACATGACCAAGTTCGGCTGCCAGCACGAGGTACAACCCTGGCCACCTCTGGAACACAGCTTCTGTGTGCTGACTCTGAGGAAACACTTCCCAGAAGATTCCACCTCAGTGACACTGGTCTCTTCTTAATCACTGCTAATTTCTTATCTCCAGGCGGCCAGCATCCATTGTCCCAGCACAGGGAAGATTTTACTTTAGTGGTTCTGGTCTCTTGTTAATCGGAGCTGATTCTTCAGCCCCTACTGACCAGACACCACAGATTCTTCACACAAAAGGCTGTCTCTTCTGGATACTCAGCCACATGGGTGCCCTAGGAAGGGAATGGAATTGTATTAGTCAGGATTTTCTAGAGAAACAGAACTGATAGAATGAATGAATGTGTGTGTGTGTGTGTGTGTGTGTGTGTGTGTGTGTATACATATTAAACAAGAGGGTTTATCAGAGTAGCTTACAGATTATGTCCAACAATGACTATCTCCCTATGGAAATCCAAGAACCTGATATTGTTGTGGTGTATTCACCAGAGAAGACTGCTCAGACTTGGGGTTAAGTCAGTTGAAAGTCTTTATTGGCCGACTGGAGACTGCACTGGGTGTTCAGGATCCCAGTGTAGCCCTGAGCCTTTCTTATGGTGAGCTTTTAAGCACAAAAACCATGTTCTAGGTTGACATACTTCAGCTAACGAGAACAGTTAGCCATAAGCAGAACTACAGGAGCTAAAGAAGCAAGGTTAGTATGTTTAGAGACTTCCCCAGAACTATGTGGACTTGGATGGATCAGGGCTTTGTTTTAGTTTTGGCAGGTGATGCTATCTACATGCAGAGTTTTATAGCCTAAATGGTAGTTCCACCATGGAGTCAGTTGTGCTAAGGTCTGGGGGCCTACTAAGGTCTGGAGCCCTCTTAAAATAGTTGTTCAGTCCACAAGGCTAGTCTTTAGCCTATGGTTGGAATCCCAAAGAAGTAGCTTCTAATACCAGTGAAGGAAGGCCACAGCAGCAGGATGGATGCCCTTGCCAGTGGGCGTGAGGGCAAGCATGCAAAGAACAAGTTTCCTTTCCCATGTCCTTTTACACAGGCAGTCACCAGAAGGTGTGACCCAGGTGTGGCTCCTAACACCTCAAATGATCCAATCAAGAAGGATCTCTCAGAGGTGTGTTCAGCTGCTTAGGATTTAATTGACTCCAGATGTAGTAAATTGACAACCAAGATTAGCCATCACAAATCCACCCCTCATCATATCTCCTTACATCATGCTTAATTTCCAAACGAAAATAATAACGAGGTCATGTTACACTAACATGATATAACTCCTCCATACAACCACAAATGCATTATATATTTAGAACAGGTGGCAATGTCCCCTGAGGAACATTCTATTAGTGTCTCATAGCTTAAGTATAACTACTGCTGTTATCTCAGTTGATGTTATATGATAAAGAAATTGAGGAAAGTATATGTGAATATATATATGCACACACAAAATAGAGGGGAAATACTCATGTCACTTATAATCTTCATTTCTGCAGCTGGTCACATGGCCTTAGCTGGTACTTATAACTATCTTCTTCTATCCATTCTGTATTTCCTCCACCCTCAGCAAGCACCTCTTGTCCTGAGAGATTGTCCATATCTTCATTCCTGAAGGATCTGGACCCTTCGTCATCCTGCTGCATTTGGGCTTTTGTAATTTCCCATTGACTGCAATCACGTGACACAGTAGCACCAAGGGATGTCCTAAAGTGGCTGTTCTCAACCTGTGGGTCATGTCCCCTTTTTACAAGGGTTGCCTAAGGCCAAAGGACAACATGGATACTTACATTATGATTCATAACAGTGGCAAAATTACAGTTACAAAGCAGCAATGAAAATAATGTTATGGTTGGGGGGCCACCACAACATGAGAACTGTATTAAAGGGTCACAGCGTTAGGGAGTTGAGAATCACTGCCCTAAAGGATCTCCTGCATTCAGTCATAATCTTTCTTACCTCCATTGTGGGGAAGTAATCCAATTTCCCCATGGTAATCTGGATCAATCACTTCTCCTAAAACTCCTACTCCTTTCTTAGCCTGTTGGCTTGGGGCATCAGACACTCGAGGTGGCCAGGGGGAAGTCTGAGCTTCCAGTTCAAGGACACGTTTGTTGTGTCTCCTGGTGGGAGAGCTCCCCCTGTGGAACCAAAACGTCTAGGCCAGCAGAACCAAGGTCCCAGGCACAGGGAAGCAAAATTTTCCTCAGTTGGTCACTAGGGGTGATAGTGGAACCATTCCATTTTCCACCCCTTGATTCCTTGATCCTGGTCATGGGAGAAACAGTGTTGTATATGGACACTGATTCA